CACACACCCATCATAAGCACAGTACTGAGGAAAGCATGCTAAAGGGATTGGAAGCCCATGATGGATTCACTCTCCCATACAAGATTTGAGGCCCAATTTCCAACTTTGGATCCTCTAGGCTCCAAATTGCTTGTGGATGTTGTGGATGGGGCTGACACTCTCTCTCTCTCTCTCTCTCTCTCTCTCTCTCTCTCTCACACACACACACACACACACACACACACACATACACACACACACACACACAGGGGGGAGAGGGGTGTCAACTGTGGCAATCTCTAAGAGCTGAAAAACGGAAGCTGACCTGGATAGGAAGAATGTCACAGGTGTCCCTCTGCACCTGATCTTAGTCATAGGGCTAAGAAGCGATTCAACCCACCTTCCATATTTGTGGGTGCTGTACCTGCAGAGTCAACCAACCTCAGATGGAAAATATGTTTTTAAAAAAAAAAACTGCATCTGTACTGAGTGTGTACAGACTTGTCATGATTTCCTAAACAATGTACTGCAACCGCACACAGAGCACTATGTAGATGTTATAATTAATGCAGATATTATCTGAGGCACACGGGGAAATGTGCACAGATTTCCGCAAACACAAAGCCACTGTACGAAATGGCTTGAGCCCAATCCCCCGAGGATGCAGAGGGGCCGGGACCTTCGTATGGCTAATGTGTCTAAATGCTCAGAGCTTCCGTGGACCCACATCACAGGTGAGGAAAACGACTTCCATATTCTTCTCATGGCATGTGGACTTCTAATCCAACCCTCTGAGTTGACTGCTATCGTCTCTCTAAAGACCCCCTTCTCCACCGCAGTACTGCCAACACGTAACCAGAGGCTGGTGTAGATCTCAAACCTGTAATCCCAGCACCTGAGAGCCTGGGCTATAGTGAGACTCAGAGATTTGCTGGTAGAGGAAGGAGCCCAACACCAGTTACAAGCGCCCCTTAAAAAGCAGAGAGTGGTGGCTTATGCTCATAATACCAGCACTTGGGGGGTGGACGCAGGAAGGTCAGGACTTCAAAGTCACCCCCAGCTACGTGGCATGTTAAAGGCCAGTTTAGGCTACAGAACACCCTGTCTAAAAAAGAACCAAGGGAGTGGATGAACTTCTGGAGTTATAGCTCAGTGGCACACACCTTTAATCCTAGTACTTAGAAGAGGCAGGCAGATCTCTAGGCCAGCATGGAAACTTACTACTCAGTAAGTTTCAGACCAGCCAGGGCTACACAGTGAGATCCTGTCTTTAAAATAAAATAAAATCACCTCTCCTTACCTAGTGTATTATATTCTAAAGCTGTCTTGTCTGGCCACACATTGCCTCTGTCTCTGCCACCTGAGTGCTGGGATTAAACATGTGAACCATCACCCCCACTTGATCTGAAATTCTTTATGAGACCTCAAGAAGTCCTCTCTGTTGTCCGTAAAACATTTAAGCGGTATCTCTAGGGACCTGTCTATAACTGTCTTCCTGAGAAAGCTGGGGTGTGACTAAATCCTGTATATCAGTGTCAGGCCACTCAAAGCGGTCTCCGTTTTCATTTCCCTGACAGGTTCTTTACCTGAATAAACCCTCTGTGTAGACTTTCACGGACATTTTGCCCTACCATTGGCTCTGCGCTGAGGGTTGCTTTAGTTTCTCTGATCTTGTCACCAGCTACACCAACTGAGCTGGGCATGGAGGTCACATACCTGGGGGGTGGAAGTTGGAGGGCCCCAAGCTCAAGGCCAAACTGGAGGTACACAGGGCCCTGTTTCATAAAACCACAAATTGTACCAACTCCTTTCTTTGGAGGAAACAGTTCCTTCCCTGGATTTGGCTTTTTGCAAGCTTGACCTCCACCCTGCTCTTCAGGTTCTTTGTCCCGGGTTATCCAAGTCCAGGAAAGTTGGTGCAGGGGTGACCAGGCCTTGAAGAAACCAAGTCCTGCAAGACCAGCAGGCTAAGGAAAGTTTGCTCTCAAGAGAAGCCAGGACTAGAGCTCAGTCTACGAAAAGGGAACCACCGCCCCGCCCTCCCGAGACACGCCCCGGCCCCGCCCCGGGCAGCAGGCACAGCGGACAGCGCATCCCCGCAGGTACGCACCGTGCAGGGGGCCGGGCCTCAGCACAGTCCCACCGGCCCGGGCTGCAGCCCGGTGGCCAGGACCCCGATCCCACCACTCCACGCCCGCCTGGCCCGCTAGCCTCACCTCGCCCCCGCGGCCGACCTCCGCCTCGGCCACCACAGCCCACCCCGGCGGCCGGCGGGGTGCAGGTTACCCGCGGCCGGGTTGCAGGAGGTAGAGTGTGGTGCGCGTGCGCACACCATGAGTTCCCATTCGCTGCTGCTAAGCGACGCTCACACCCAAATAGACCAATCATGGGGCGTCTCTGCTGTCCAGTTGTTCAGACCCGGGAACTGCGTGAATCTTCCAGGGCTGGCGCCCGTTTGCTCCCCCACCGCCGGCCCGCGTCTCCTCCGCAGGGCTGGAGGCCCACGTATGTCTCACCTCGAGCGGTGTGAAGAGGCTCCGATGTCCCCTCGATGCCCGGTCTGGAGCGGACTGGGCTGTTCTCCGGAGGCGTCTAGGCCCCTTGTGACTGGAATGACACTCCCTGGGCGTGGGTTCTTGCAGGCTACGCAGCTGGGCAGGAGGCCCGAGATAGAGGATCCGAAGAGCACAGCCTTCTGCCAGCCTGGAGGAGGTGCCAAAGTCCGATCCCTGAGCAACACACCCTCGCTATGAGGCTGGAGGAAGATTGGGTAGCAAAGTTAGGCCCTTACTGTTTTGACAAGTGCTGAGCACCGCTGTGTGCCGCTCTCTGTGTACACAGCAAGTGTGAACACAGAAACCAAATCAAGAGAAGTGGGTAGGGCACCAGGCAGGAAAGCGGGTGTTCAAACACGAGTTCACAAGAGCACTTGGCTTGGAGTTGGAGCTCAAGGAAAGCTTCCCCAAGTTTCAGGCTGTTGGGCAAAGGAGAGTTGGTGTGTTTCAAAGACATTTGCTTGTACACAGCACTCTGTCGGTCGGAGGATGTATCTCTGTTGATAGAGTACCTGAACTACAAAACCCTAGACCAGCCCAGGCATCCTCTCCATACATCAGAACTCCAGGCTCTCCTCAGAACTCCCATCAGTGACTCCCCAACCCCTGTCTCTGGTTCTCAGGACCTCTGCTACTTACTAAAGTGACACCATCAGCTTCCCGGATACGTCACTTTTATTCCCTGAGACAGGGTCTTGTGTATCCCAAGCTGACCTTGAACTCACTGTAGCAGACTGTAACTGAAGGTGATCGATCCTACTGCCTCCAATTCCTGGGTGCTGGTATTACCGACGTGTACCTCCACAGCCAGCTTGTGTGGCCCTGGAGCTCAACTCCAGGGTTTCCTGCCTTCTAGACAAGAGCACTACCCACTAAGCCACATCCCCAGTGCCAGCTTTCCTGCTTCTGAGGTCAAGTGCAAGTTGGTAAACCCCAGAACTGGCTCCCTTGTTTCTCAGCCTCTGTCACCACAAGGGCACATTCTCTTAATAAACCTTCATCATATAGACAGAGATAGCCTATTCATTCGGTCTCCATGGAGAAGCCTACTATAGGTGCCAACCTAGCAGCTGGATAGACAGGTTACATGGAGAGACTGAGCTAAGTGAAGACTTCTGAACGGCATTTCTCTTGTGGGTGGGAATGGAAACAGGGCTTATGTAACCACAAACAAATTGCAAAATGAAACAGGAAGACTTGTGACAGTCTAAGATAGCCTTTGGGCATTATTGTGTCCTGGTATTCAAGTAATGCCACAGTCCCCTCCCACACTGAGTCAGGGCTGGTCCGTAACAAGCCTCAACAAGGCTAGTTCATAACATTCACCAAGAAGAAAAACATAAAGGAGACTGACACCCTGTCTACTGTGCGCCCTGTCTAGATAGTGAATATTTGGTACTAAACCTAGAAAACTCTGGATTTAGCAGTTGTGATGGTTTGTATATGCTCGGCCCAGGGAGTGGCACTATTAGAGGGTGTGGCCCTGCTGGAGTGGGTGTGTCACTGTGGGCGTGGGCTTTAAGACCCTCATCCTAGCTGCCTGGAAGTCAGTATTCTGCTAGCAGCCTTCAGATGAAGATGTAGAACTCTCAGATCCTCTTGTACCATGCCTGCCTGGATGCAGCCATGCTCCCACCTTGATGATAATGGACTGAAGCTCTGAACCTGTAAGCCAGCCCCAATTAAATGTTGTCCTTTATAAGTATTGCCTTGGTCCTGGTGTCTGTTTACAGCAGAAAAACCCTAACTAAGACAGGAGTGTAGTGCCTCATACCTGTATTATCAATATTCAGCCAGTATTCAGGAGGCTGTCAGAGGAGCCCTGTCATGGAGCTGAGGCTGGCCTGGGCGAAATAGTGAATCCTAGGCAACCTTGACTACAGAGACCTTATTTCAAAAAAATCAGAGGGACTGGAGAGTTGGCTCAAGAATTACAGATCACCTTGTTCCTCTTGCAGAGGACCTGGGCTTGACTCTCTCCATGCTCACACAGCAGCTGACAAACAGCTGAAACTTCTAGATGACTTGCCACCCTCTCCTGACATCTGCGGACACCAGGCAGGCACGTGGTGCATATACACACGTGCAGGCAAAACATTCATCCACGTAAATAAATCTAAACAAAATGTTTTAAAAAGCAAAAGTAGAGAACTCCAGACAGGATGTGGCACCTGGGAGGGAATGTTTGTGGAGCATGAATGCATGAGAGTGTTTGCAGAGCGTCCATGAGTGAAACATGGACTTCTGTCCCCAGCACCACAACCACATCTGGAGTCCCAGCACTCAAAAGATACAGATGGGAGAATCAGAAACACAAGGTCATCCTTTGTGAGACAATGTCTTAAAATTAAAAAAAAAATGAACAAGATCTTTTTTAATGGGCTGAAGCCTTGGGATATTAGTATCTGAGACATGAGTGATTTAGATAGGCTGTTCCTTCACCTTCTGTCTGGCACACCCCGTGAGTCTCAGGCTCTACTGTAGAATGAAATCGGAAACGGTTAAAGCGTAGTGCCTAAAATCCCAGCCAACATCTCCAATCCCTGACCACTCATGGCCACTGTCACTTCCAGGGGCTTTCCATTCCAAGCAAGCATTTCAGCTCTCCACCCCCACAATCTCCACATCTCCGAAGACAACTTCCAAGTCTAGTTATCTATAGCTTTAGACATTCGGTCTCCATCCTCCCCTCCGGATCACTTGGCTCCTCCCTCCCGCACTGTACAGCATGCCTCTACTTCGTTCTATTGATTAATTCTTTTTAAATTTTCACTTCATTTCCCATGAGTTGGGAATCCAGGGGGTGATCACATCTACCACACAGTTTCTGTCATACTGACAGTTTCGAGTCATCCTTCGGTTCGCCACCAGTGTCTCCTGGGCTATAAATGCTGCCACCACATGGATCTGTACCACACACAATGCCAGGCTCAGCCGGGTCCTTCATGCACCCAGCAGGTGCCCAGTCAGTTCTCTGCCCAGCCCTCCCAACACCCAATTCCAATTCTCCCTCATGCCCCTCTCCCCTCCCACTCTTTGATCTCTTTTTGCCCTCCCAGGCTCCTCTGCCAGTGAAGAACAAGTAACCATGAAAGTGATGGGTGTTAGCTGCTGGCAACTCTTCTCCCAGCATCCTCCACTTTCTTTATCCTCTGTCAGCCAAGCCTCCTGGGAAACCTGGTCAACGGCTGAATACTCAGCGCCTCCCCTTTCCCACCACTTCTAAGCAGCCTGTGATTCTGACTTCTGCCTCATCTTGTGGCTGCCTCAGCATACATGAATGACATTAAGGACCAGCACTGGTTACTCGTAAGTCACTCTTTTCTTTAAGCCCTACCCCGCACAGTTCCCTGGTTCTACCCTCTCCCCTCTCCGCCCCCCCCCATCTCTTCTGCAGCTTCTTTTCTTCTGCACAAGGGAAACCACCATGCTCTCCTTGGGCAGGCTTATCCACCACGTGATTTGAATCAGTTTGCCCAAGTGATGTTTATCACAGCTCTGTCCCTCCAGACTTCATTCATGCTTCCAGATTCAAAGAGCCATGAACTTCAATATTTCCACATGGGATAACCTCCGACTAAGTTTCTGTTGCCTTTGGTCCAGCTTCCCCGACACCTGTTCCTTGCCTCCATAAATGGCATTATGACTCTCTCAGATGCCAAACCCAGAACTCCCATGCACCATCCCTAATTCCCCCTGCATCTTCCACCCTACTCAGTCACTTAGGCCAACCAGGTCTCCTTCCTCAAGTGCACATTTCTCTCACAGTATCCATCTCCTCTGAGCTGCTCACCCGCAGCTGCCTCCTAACTGCTCTTCTTCAAACCCAACCTCCTTCCTACCTTTCATCTATCACTGCCAACAAAGTTTTCAGGCATTGCCAGTCTTCTGCCTGAGACCATCCGTGGTTCCCACTGCCTCCTAGAGAAAGTTCAGGATTGAGTCCTCTCCCTCCCCCCATATCCACACCTTCACACTGAGTCTTCTTTCCCCCTGCACCTGCCCCTCCTCGACACCACCTCCTCCATCAGTCTTCCATTTCTAAATAGGAATTGCTGGGGATAGAGTGGTACTAAGCAAGGTGTGTGTCCTGCTCTTGGTGACCTGCTCTGCCTATCCTGTCTTCTGTAGAATCTCTGAGAGGGACTGATGCGGGAGCCTGAGAAGCAAGAATCTCTGAGTCTGATCCCACACAGACAGGTCACCCCAACTTCTCTCATTGGATCCTCATGCCTGGAATGGCATGGAAGCTGCTGCTTTATAACCTAAATGGGGATGGGGAAACCTAGGGCAGGGCAACAAAGCTCTAGGGAGCTCTCAAGATTCTCCCCCAAATGACGTTCTAAAGTCACGTTGCCCAGGCTCAGTCTGATGGTCATCGATGGCCAATAGGACTCGGGGAAATGCATCTATTTTCTGTTCTGTAAAGTGAAGAAAATACTAGGACATCTTAGGGTGACAACAAGCAATACAATTTCATAGCAAACTTTTACTCATGTGTTACATGTGTGTTCGCCACATGTATCTGGGTGCCTGTGCAGGCCAGAAGAGAGCACCAGATCTGTTGGAGCTTAGTTACAGGTGGTTGTGAGCCACTCGAATTGTGGAGTTGGGAATCAAATTCTGGTCCTCCGGAAGAACAGGCAAGGAGGTTTCAAACACTAACTCCTACCGGACACGCTTTTTTTTTTTTTTTATTGCCCAGAAAGAATCTAAGCACATTCATGTATCTTCCAGGATAAGAGGAAAGCTAATATCAGTACTTTCCGGTTTAATCTATCTGACTGGAAGGGGCCTTAGTTCCCACTGTACTGTACCTAGAAGGGTTAGGAACAGGATAGCCAAGCTGCAGGACAAACCTGTCAACCCTTGGCCATCAATCATCAGAAAAGTCCTGCCCACAGAGTAGCGTCATAGCTACGCAAGAGCAAGCCGGAACGAGCTCGCCCGTCCAATCACAGACGACGCCCCGCCCCACTCTGAGACTCACCCAATCAGAGTAGAGTCTCTAACCTTTTCCCGCCCCCACTCGGGAAGGCGCAGGCTTGCGTCAGCAGCGCGCGACTCGGGGGCTCCCAGCTCGGGATTCCGAGCTTCTTTGCAGCATGTCGGTCATCTTCGCTCCTGACTGGCTACGCGGCAAGGCCAAGGTCAACCAGGAGACTATCCAGCGGGTGAGCGACCGTGAGCCGGAGACCTGGTGCAGGAGCTTTCTGCAGGGGCCGGACCGTGGTGGGGACAGCCTGTGGGCCGGGGAAGGAATGGGAGCAGGGTCAGCTCGTCGCCTGCCCGGGACCTCCACCTGAGAGCCCCCTGCGCTTCCCCCTCGCCCATCTTTCAGCTCCTGGAGGAGAATGACCAGCTGATCCGCTGTATCGTGGAGTATCAGAACAAGGGCCGAGCGAACGAGTGCGTCCAGTAAGTGACACTGGGGACGTACGGCAGCCCTGGGTGATGAGCCTGCGAGAAAAGGGAGGTGCGGAAGAGATTGCTTGGCTTGAGTGGTGCTGCTTGCTTGTAATCCTAGCACTGGGCAGGCTGCGGCCGGAGGATGGCCAGCTAAGATTACGTAGCAAGACGGTGCTCCGCCCTCTAAAGGTTATTTACTTACTACTCAAAACCATATTGACAGTTTATGGTAGAACCAGGAGTTAGAGTTTCACAGAAAGCCCTGTCAAGTGGTGACAGAGGAAAGCATCGCTAAGCTATACTCCATAAGAGCCACAGTTTCTTTATTCGTGGATTTCACTTCCATCCCCCAAAAGTTAAGTCAGGCCACTTGGTTAACTAATTTGGTTTAGTCTGTCTGTAGGAGATACACACGACCAACAAAGGGATTTCTATGTTAAATCAAAGTATAATCCAGGATAGAATTAATGTGCTCTTTTATTGGATATCAGAATGGGAAGAAACGGAATCTGAGACCCTTTTCTAAATTTGGTCCAAGTACTAGGCCCCATTTCTTATAGAAAATGCTTTATTGTTACTTAAATATTTCTAAAATCCCATACTTTTTTTTTTTTTTGCCTCTTAAAAGGTCACCTATAACCCTTCTTTAAGCACTTAATGGAATAGGAGAATTGACATTTTGAGGTGTTTGTTTGACTCCAGCATTTGAGGTTTGCTTTTTTTTTACATTTTATAGTAAACACTTTCTTGTGTTTAGAAAATGCCTGCATGGATTTCTGAGTTGGAGGCCAGCCTGGTCTACAGAGTGAGTTCCAGGACAGCCCTGACTATAAGAGAAACCCTGTCTCCAAAACAAAAAAAGAAAAAAAAGAAAGAAAATGCCTGCAACACATTCTTTTTGGTGTACTGTCCCTTGTGCAAAGATACAAAGGTCTTACAAATCTATTCTGTTTTTTTCACATTGTGAAGGTCATACTTCCTAAGTCTAATGACTTCCTGAATGGCTGGCAATTGACAATGGCTATGTCATGTGCTTACTTTGGTCATGCAAGGGTCTTCCTTATCCTTTTTCTCCCTCTACCCCCCCCCCCCCGCCCTCCCTCCCCCCCACAAAGGTTTCCCTGTGTAGCCCTGGCTGTTCTGAAACTTGCTCTATAGACCAGGTTGGCTGTCAAGTCAGAGATCCCCCTGCCTCTGCCTCTCATGTGCTGGGACAAAGATGCACCACCACACCTAGTGGTGGTACTACAGACAAGGAAGCAATGTATGATGAATAAGAAGCACAAAAGATTCCTACTGTCTGTGGAGCTGATGTTTTAGACTCTAGAACTAGAGGGAAGAAATATAATAGACATGTAAGAATTTTATGTGCTTTAAATGGAATAAAGTCAGGGCATGTCTGTCATGTACAGGAAGCCCTTGGTTCATTTTCCAGCACGGCAGAAATCAGGTAGGGTAAGTAGAAAACGGGGTGCAGAGTGCCCTTCATAAGGTAACATCGAGAGAAGCCTGGGTCCCAGAAATAAGTAAGGCAGAACAAAGGTGCTGGATCTCAGGCACACCGAGGAGGCCCCTGTGTTCAGATCTTGGTGAAGGGAAAGCCACAGGAGATGAAGACACAGAAGTGACTGGAGACCCCATCACATAAGACCTTGTAGGACTAAGATGGCATCTTTGTTTTTGTTTTTGTTTTTTTGTTTTTTTTCGAGACAGGGTTTCTCTTATAGCCCGGGCTGTCCTGGAACTCACTCTGTAGATCAGGCTGGCCTCGAACTCAGAAATCCGCCTGCCTCTGCCTCCCAAGTGCTGGGATTAAAGGCGTGCGCCACCACTGCCCGGCTAAGATGGCATCTTTAAAGCGTTAGAACAGTTAAATGACAGGATCCTGATTTAAACTGCTGTGCTCACTCCAGTTCTGTAGACTACTGTGGGGCACTAATACAGGCCGTGGGGATGAGGAGACTGCTGTTGTAGTCCAGGCAAAAAAAGCAGAGTTGCTTGATCTAGAGGGGTAGATGTGGGGGTGAAAATGCCAAGTTTCTAAGTTAACGAGGTAAAGCCAGGTGTGGTGGTACACTCGAGGAGGAAGAGGCAGAGGCAGATGGATCTCCAAGTTTGAAAACAGCCAAGGCTATATAGTAAGACCATTTGGTTGATGATCTGTGTCATTCAGTCAGTGGGAAAGCTGTTCCACTTTAGTGGGTAGGTTTAGCCTGCCTGGTGAGTAAAAACAAGCATCTAATTTTTGTTTTTCACCCATAGGTATCAGCATGTGTTACATAGAAATCTCATTTATTTAGCTACCATCGCAGATGCCAACGCAAGCAGTCTTACAAAGGCGGTGGAGTAATTTTCCAGGAGGCTGCAATGAGGAGTGACTACATGGAAGCCATCTCCTGGGAAATAGCTGCTCAGAACATGGGCAAAAAGTCCCATTCATTTTAGACTGTGAGGAACTTGCTGCCAACTCTACTATATTCTTACTGTAAATATGTTAGTAATAAAACAGATCTCATGGTAGAACTGTGAGGACCTGAGGTGTATGACGGCAGTGCCATTATCATTGTCAACAATAGTGTTTATCTGATAACACATAATAATAAATGATGCGTGCCTCTCCTCAGTGTCCCACATCCACTAATACCATCCTCACACAGCCCTGTCATCTCCTTTCCTTCACTTCTTTCCTTCTCGATTATAAACAAAGTCTCTGTTCAGGAAGAGAGGCTGAAGCAAAGGGTGCATTCAATGCTGAGAGGCAAAAAGAAAGAAAAAGTAACCATCAGTCCTTGGCACACCTGAGAGGTGGAGGCAGGATGTCAGGGTCAACCTGGACTACATGAGACACAGAAAAAGAAAAATGTTTTTGTTAGCATATACATTATAGGCTTAATGACATGGTCACACATGTATATAATGTATCTGATCATATGCAGTCGCATTGCTCTCTTGTTCCCTTCCTGCTTGAAAGCTTGATAAACAACATGGATGCAATTTAAAGATACTTTGCTTTTATACTGTGAAACCAGCCAGCCATAAAGGATGGACACCATATGTATCAGTTTGCCTTTGTTTGCTGTGATACACCACCATGATGAAAAACAACTTGTGGATAGAGCAGGTCCCAGGCAGCAGCTCTGTACCCAACCTCAGAAAACCGAGAGAAAGAGGGCCTCCCAGGAGCTTTAACTCAGGCAGTATCCCAGGTAAAAATGAATCACCCGTGATGTCTGCTGTTAGAAGTTCTAATCCAGAAGCTGGCCTCCAAACTTATACTACTCAGACCTTTGAAGGGCCACTGACAAGAACATCAAACAGCTAGAGATTGACATCACTAATCTGAAGAAATCCCTCGTTTCCCTGTCTGAAGAGACCTCCTAAAATCGCAAAGATCCTTATGGGACTCGATTTACTCTACACAATACAAAAGGCTGTGTACAGCTCTTGATTGCGTACAGCCCTTTAAGAAAAATGTTGCCTTTACATAGACAAGACAAGGAGGGTTAAAGAGAGCATGAATTAGGTCAGTGAAGGCCCTGAAAAGAGAGAGAGAAAGACAGATGAATGCTGGTACAAGAATTGGTTTTCAGCCTCTCCAAGGTTGTCAACCCTACTTCCTCCCATCTTGGGACCATTATTTGGTTTCTTTTTGCTCATTTCTGCTGGCCCCTGGGCCCCAAATAGGCAGACTAGCTCTGTGATACAACAGATAAATAATTTGGCAGCAAAACCTATTCAGATACATTATTATAAGTTAGCTATGGAGGACCACGAGACTCAAGATGAGGTTGTTACTTTATACAGGGTGTTTCCAAAACCCATCTCCACCCAACCTAAAAGGGGGGACTTCTGCCCCTAGACCAAGCAGAGAGGGGCCACCCAGAATCCCCTCTGACAGGCGATCTGAATCCTTGCTTAGGCTCCGAGGCTAAGCACTGCAAGGGAATATAAATAAAAGATAAAAATATCTCTCTGGGTTCCCTGAGGGACAAGCCTGACTGCATAGGGGTTGATGTCAAAAGTATCCCCTCTCCAGGAAAAAGACATCGGGATGGGTATGGCTCTCATGCCTCACTGGACAACGATAGGGGGACCGGAGCCATTACAAGGTCCCCTTCAAGTATTGGAGGTCAGGCCTCTATCCCCGCCTTTGCAAGATTAGAATTGCCACAGCCCTTCTATACTTAGAGAAGGGAGGAGATGTCAGGGGCAGCCCTGCTTACACACTAAAGGCCTAAAATCAACCATAGGCCTAAAATCAACAATAGGCCTGTCATACATGTATACTAACACCTAGTCTTGGGTCTCAGTGGAAAAACACTGAAACATGGCTATAAGCTAATGTAAACAGGCAGCTTTTGTGGAAATCTACAAGCCTGAGTAGCCATAGACCTTGTAAATAGGTAGCCTTGGCAGACAATACCAACTTAGATAAGGACAAACGAGTCATAGGCAGAGTCATAGTGACTTGTCCCCTGAACCTTCACCCAGCTGATACCTGGTTCTGAAGATATCTGTATTCTCCCTGAACACCCACACTCCAGTGTCATTCCCTTCCCCACATCCTGCCTTTCTGTGTTTATAACCCCTGTGTGAATGAATTACGATTTGAGAAAAAATAAATTATTAAAAAAAAAAAAAAGAAAAGCAACTTGTGGAGGAGAGAGTTGTTTGGCTTAAATGTCCTGGTCATGGTCCATCATGCAGGGAGGTCAGGGCAGGAATTCAAGGGCTGCAACTGAAACAGAGCCCTTGGAAGACTCTGTTAAAAAGACTGAAAGTCTGTTAGTTGTTCAACCCTTGACACTGAATATCTCAGCCATCCCAGTCTTAAGGAGCCTGGGAGATTCCTGGAATGCTGTTGGTCTTCAGTCTGTGTAAGAATCCCAGATAAGTTGGTTCTAATACCAACCAGCACCGTAATGACTCAGTGGCAGGATGAGCTTGGTAGTGAGAGAGTACAGCAGGCAAAAGTCAACGTTTCCTTCCATTTCCTTTTATATGGGTGCCAGCAGAAAATGTGGTCAGTGTCGGGTTAGTCTTCAGCTTCCAGATCATCCAGGAAAACTGGGCAGCAGTGCCAGCAGCTTAGACTTCAGCTGGTTCCAGATGCAGTCAAGTTGACAGCCAGAGTAGACCACCACAATGATTGTACACAGGGGAACGTGGCTGTACTAAGTGGGTATACAGAATGAGGGAGATGTGTTCTTCCAGAGAACAAACTTTCCAAGTTGGTTGATGATGTCTAAAACCATAAGATGAATGTACTTCACACCACTGAGCTGCACTTAAAGATGCTTTTAAAATGGTAAAGATTATATGATGCAAACGTAACAGTTTTATAAAAGCAGGGTGGCACTGATAATCATATGTGGTCATAAAACCAAGCAACTTGTAGGTTAAAAAGATAGTTTTCAACAAAGGGACATTTGTTTAAGCCCAGGCAGGGTTCCAAGATGGGAGTTCCACCACACCTGAGACATGAAGGCTGGATTTAAACATAAAAGGAGAAACTCAAATTCCCGACATTCTCAAATGTTGATTAAAACATTTTCATGATCTTGAAGTCCACACATCCATTTCTTTTCCCTTCTCTTGTGTGTCCTCTTCCATCTCCCTCCCCTTCTCTTCTTCCATTTCCTGGTGTTGCAGATGGAACCCAGAGCATGCCCTGTACGTACCACTGAGCTACATGCCCAGCCTTCAGGGACTTCTGAGTGCAGAAGCACAAACTGAAGGAAACAATAACAAAATGCAAATCAACTGACCACCAGAATAAGACACTTTGCCAGGGCTGTCCCTGGTAAATGCAATTCTTACCCATCATCAAGGAAACTTCCCTTTGCAGTAAGCAGAGACCATTACAGAAAACCACAACTAGACAAAACTACAGGGTTGTAGAGTCCAGTCCCAACAGATCTACAAAACGACTTCCAGACCTAAACTTAGGGAACATTTCCTGTAGAAGAAGGAACAAAAAAGATCATGAGAGGCAGAGAAATGGAGTTTGCTGTGAGATTTTTGTCTCCTGGTAATGTCAGGCTACACCCATAAGTCTCGCCAACTTGACTGCTTAAATGAGCTGAACAAGGAAAACAGAAAAGCCAAACGAATTCTCAACTCTACACAACTACTGGCAACTAAGTACTGAGAGTGGGAGAAATAGTCTTTCTTAGGGAAGAACACACCAATTGGTCATCGGATACAAAATGGTCAGCCCTGAAAACACACAAGTAACAGACAGACTGAGGAGACTGTGCTTAGGGAGGTATATGTATGTATATACACATGTAGAAGCCTTTATTCCCACCAAATAAAACTAGTTTTTAAAAACTAACAAAATGTTATAACTCCTATAAACAATGTTCAGCTCTAGGAAGTAACATTTTTTTTTTCATTGATAAAAGAATTTAAGGGCTGGAGACATGGCTCAGTGATTAAGAGCACTGACTGCTCTTCCACAGGTCCCGAGTTCAATTCCCAGCAATCACATGGTGGCTCACAACTATCTGTAATGGAATCCAGTGCCCTCTTCTGGTGTGTCTGAAGACAACGACAGTCTACTCACATATATAAAAAATAAATAACTCTTTAAAAAAAAAGAATTTAGAAACAAAACAAAATAACAACAACAACAAAAACCCTTTGTCAGAAGATAGTCAAAAGCAATGAAAATCCAGGGCCAAGACTGTGAGAAGGTATTTGCTATAGTATGTGACGAGAGTTATGTTCACAACATACATTTTCCTAATGAAGTATTTGTGTCCAGAACTCTTCATATTTCCTAGACCAGGGGCTGTACTTAAAAGGTAAAAAAAATCCTGGTTGTGACAGAAAGGCCAGGACAAAGACAGTTGTCCCGGCGGCACTGACTCCAAAGTGGGAGCTAACCTTGCAAACCGACTAGGTTTGGTTGTTTTTTTTTTTTCTTCTTTTTTTTTTCTTTTTCTCCAGGTTTGGTTTTCATTTTTGTTTTTGCTACTGCTTTTTGCTTATTTTATGTGTGTGCTTTCATGAGTTTATGTGCACCATGTCTGTGCCTGGGAAACCTAGAGAGCACTACATCAGAATCTAGAACTGATGTTGTATATGGTGTGAGCCATTTGGTGTGGGTGCTAGATACCACATAGGTCCTCTGCAAGAACAGTAAGCACTCTTATTTTTAAGACAGGTTTATGTTGGTTCTGTTTTTGTTTGTTTGTTTTTAGCTACTTTATTGGGGTCTTATACTTCTACTTCCCTTCCAACCCTTATTCCACCCTGATCTCTTCCAACTCCCCAGTGCTAGGTAGGAAGGAAAGAAAGTTAGAGGGGAAATGAGGCACAGACCTCTTTAGACTACTTCCTGCTGACTGGGCATGTTGAGTTACTTGAGGCAAGTCCACTCTTCACGGTCAGGATATCTCCAGTTTCTTCTCATCTCTTTGTTCATGAATACTTGGCAAATCTTCAGGAGCAGCAGCATTTCAGAGCATCCCAGCCCCTCAGGGCTCTGGCATTCATACCCTCGGAAGAGTCCCCAGAATTCTGAATGTAAACTAGCTACAGCTGGCGAAAGCACGCCCCTGCCAGTGCACTAGGCAAATCACAATCATCTGCTGTGGAGTAGCCTCTTACCACACCTGGGATTAAATAGACATTCACACAATTATAACTGGGTTTTTTTTTTTTTTTAAAGAAACTCAAATTCTCACTATAGGGCCTCTCTACATAGCCTTTCCTGGTACTCTCTATGTAGATCAGGCTGGCCTTTGACTCACCCAGATCTACCTGTCTTTGCCTACTAAGTGCTGGGTGCTGTGATTAAAGGTGTGTGCCACTATACCAGGCTTCAGTAAGTTCTCAACAGTGGAGCCATCCACATAAAGACAGCATGTAGTAGAACCAATTTAAGGGTATCCCCGACTAGTTTATACGTAAATGAGACAGACTATGGTTATTCTATTTGGCTTTGACATTTCTTGGAGGGTAACTCCTAATCTACTCTTCTAACTGGTGCCCTGGCTACCTCCCCAGCATTGTACCCCAGATATATATTTTTTCTCCTGGCTATGTGCTTATCCTCCATCTCTCCTCATGGAGGCTTCCTCTCTCCTCTTGTTCCTCCTTCTACACTTGGTCTCTCTTCTCTCCTTACGCTTCTTCTTCCCACCCCCAACAAGGTAACTCAAAACTCACCTACCACTAATCCCTCCAGTAATTGGCTGTAGCCAATTTCATTTAACCAATAGTTTTAAATTAAGGAACAAAGTTTGCACAACAAAAGCTTGTAAAAATGGTGTGTCACTTGTAGGTCTAGACTTTTTGGGTATAGAATATAGCATTATAACACATAGTGACAGACCCAACCTCAAAACACTGATTGGGATTAAAAATTTCTACAATAACATATTCTTTTTTTTTTTTTTTTTTGTTTTTTTTGACAGGGTATCTCTGTGTAGCCCTGGCTATCCTGGAACTCACTCTGTAGACCAGGCTGGCCTCGAATTCAGAAATCCGCCTGCCTCTGCCTCCCAAGTGCTGGGATTAAAGTCGTGTGCCACCACCGCCTGGCCCTACAATAACATATTCTTAATGTGTACTTTTTGTTTTGAGACAGGGTCTACATAGCTCTGACTGGCCAGGAAAGTAATATGTAGACCAGACTGACCTCAGGCTCAGAGATCCATCCACCTTTGCCGCTTGAGTGCTGGGATTTAAAGGGTGTGTATTATTGCTCACAGACTTTCTTCTTTAAGATTTTACTTTGCTTTGCCTGCGTGTATGTCTGTGCACCGTGTGCATGCTTGGTGTCCACAGAGGTCAGAGGAACACGGTGGAAACCCTGGAACTGGAGATGGTTGTAAGCCACTCTGGAGGCGCTGCGTTGGGCTTTGAACTCAGGTCCTCTGCAAGAGCAGCCTCTTAACTGCTGGACCATCGCTCCAGCCAACAGGTTTGGTTTCTTCAGACAGGCCTCAGGTAGCTCAGGTTGACCTTGAATTACTGAGTCTCCTGCCTTTACCCACCAAGCGCTGGAGCGCAGGTGTGAACGCCATGGTTTGTGTTATGCTTCGGGGCTTTGCTGTTGCTTTGATTTTTGTTTCGTTTCGTTGTATGCCTTGAGAAAGTCTCAGCGACCCAGGCTGCCGGCGGCCAGTCTCTCCTCACCCTGGCGGGCAAGTGAGGGACGTCTGGTTCCATCATGTTTTCGAACAGCGTGATCACATCAACGAGAGGAAAAAGGCCACAGGCCACGTCGGCGGGAAACCTGGACTTCACATTGCACTCATCCACTGACCACGCAACCTGAAATCTCGCGACGCCGCCTGAGCCGTGGTTGACAGCTCGCACACGTCTGCGCACTCGGGATTGGACGGATGATTCTGAGGGGCGGGGCACGAGGAGGGCCCCCACGCCCGCTGCCACACTGGAGCCACCCGCTCTGCGAGATGAACTCTCGCGAGACTTACGCCCAGTCTCGCGCGCTCTGGCGTGGCGCTCGGCAGCTGGCCTTAACGGGGAGGAGGTGGCGTTCCGTTGGTGACGTTGGGCTCCGGCGGCGCCGGTAGGGCGTTCTCCGGAGCTGTGCGGTCAGGTGAGGAGCTCGACGGGAGCGCCAATGGCCGCGGCTGGGGTGGGCGGGCGGGCGAGCGGCCTCCTGTCGGCCGCGCCCCTGTCAAGCGGGCCGGGCCCCGCCCCGGCCGCCTGCCCGCCCTCAGCGCCCTCCTCTCTGTCCGCAGCTCCCGCCGCCGTCCCGCTGCAGCGCTCGCGATGGGCGCCCAGGACCGGCCGCAGTGCCACTTCGACATCGAGATCAACCGGGAGCCGGGTGAGCGGGGCGAGCCGGGGCGGACGTGGACGCGGTGGGGCCGGGCGGGGGCGTGAGGAGCGGGCTCCGCCGGCCAGAGCTGCGGAACCGCCGCGGTCACGAGCCGGCCAGCTGCCCTCCGCTGTCCCTCGGGAGCCTTCCCTAGAATGTCCCGGCTCCCGGAGACGTGGCCCGGGGGGAACAGAACGGCTTGTGCGGGTTCCGTAGCCCCGGAATCGCAGCGCCGATAGCCTACAGCCGTGGTGTTCGGACTTACAAGTCCAGTGTGCAGCCATTCGTTAATCCCGAGACGTGGGTTTCTCCGCACACGGAGAGGTAACCGCACGCGTACGTGCTCACACATGTAAAGACGCGTGTGTCGGGCGTGAACGTGTGTACGGATGCGGAGTTCTCGACTGGAGGTGTGTCGTGCGCCCCACCGCGCGCGCTGCAGATCGGCAGGAGAGCTTGTCCTCGGCTCTGGAAGTACGGCAGGCAGTGACCCAAGCAGGGCTGCCTCTTCTGTTTACGTCCTGTGGGAAGGAGACAGGAAGTAGAGGGTCTGTGTTAGCCAGGCGGGGGGAGAGACAAGGCCATTTTGGGAAGATGACGTTTGAGTAGATGCGAAGCCGAGCCTTGTGGATGGGTGCGTTTGAGAACTGTGCTTGGTAGTGGCAGCCGACAGTCAACTTGGTTTCTGAGACAGGACTTGTGTTTTTGCGGGAAAACGGAGATCCTGGTCTGGCTGCAGTAGAGGGAAGGGAATAAGGAAAACACTGACTCTACGACAGAGGAAGACGTGACGGTTCTGTACAAAGGGTTGGAGCGATCTTAAACATTTTGTTTTTCTCATTTAACATTTTGACCCTGACTGTAGCTGCAGTTTATTCAGCATTTACCAAACTTATTCTGGAGATTTTCCCACGGATGTTTGCAAACCTAATGTCTGAGTATACTCAGAACGTAACAGGAATATAACTAACTGGGAAGGATTTTCATAGAATAACCAAGGACTTGACTCTGATCCCCAACACCACAGATAGATGTCAGTCTTGAAAAGAATGTATAACACGGCTATACATCTTAATGTTTGTTTTTTTCAGGCATATTGTATTTTTAACTTTTTGAGGGAGGCAGGAGTCGAAGACGGTTTTTCTAAGTAGGCCAGAGATCCGAGTGCTGGAATTAAAGGTGTGGGCCCACCATTGCCCCACTTATTTTTAAGAATCAGCCAGAAATATAGTTCAGTGGGAGAGCTTGCCTATTCTATTGTTGACTCCAAGCTCAATTCCCAGCATTACAAAGTATCTGATTTAGATTTACTTTGATAAGCAGAGGTGATGCAGAAATCAAGATGTACTGATAAGAATTAAGTGTAGCATAGTTTGTATTTTCAAATGCATGTATGTATGTATTTTCTTTTGAATTAAAAAACTGTTGAGTGACTGCAAATGCAGAACTAATGTAAAGGGGGGAAACCTTTACATTGTAGAATAGGTTTCCTGGATTAATCCAGTAAATTGTTCCTATTGGAAATAATTCCATTGTTATTCCATAATTTATTGTTATTAAGGTTCTTAACAGAGGCTCTAATTTCTTTCATTGATACAGGATTATTCATTCACATGTCTGTTACTTAATTGATTTATTATTGGTGGCTTGTTGCTTTTAAGAAACTTATGTATTTATCTAACTTGTCAGATTGATGTGCTAGGAGGTTTTTTTCGTACTATATAGTAACAGCTGATATTTCACTCTTGATTGAAATACGTTGTTTACTGCTCTAATGGTGCATGAACCTGGGAGAGCAGGCCTTAAAAATAGTAGACTGAAGACTCCTGCGTTTATTCAGGACATCAGACAATTTAAACTCCTAAAGTCACCTGCATAAAGTCACAATGACAAGCAGAATGTGGCAAAAACTTTTTTTTTCAGAGAGGCATTTAGACAACAGCCAGTTGTAATGACTAAGCTAAAGTAAACTATCCGCCACACCTGGGAGAGTCAGGCAAGCACATTCCAAGAACAAGTCCATGGTTTTGAAGAAACTGAGGTCACAAGACTTTGTTTTTCTTGGAGTTTTCTCACAAGCACTCATAATTCTCCTCTGTTCTTGGACTATTCGGACAGTGTGTACCTGTTGTCTTTTTTTCTCTCAATCTATTAATTTTTTTTTTAAGAACCAGATTTTAGTGTCTTAGACAGTTATTGTCCTCTTTTCAGCTTTATCAATTTCAGGTTTTGGGGGTGTTTGTTTGTTTTTATCATTTCCTTCTACTGCCTGCTTTGGTTTTATTTCTATTATTTTTTAAATTTTATGCGCATTAGTGTTTTGCCTTGAATGTATGTGTGAAAAAGTTACAGACAGTAACTGAAGTTACAGACAGTTGAGAGCTACCACATGGTTGCTGGGGATTGAACTCAGATCCTCTGGAAGAACAGTCAGTGCTCTTAACCATCTCCAGCCCCTCTTTTCTAATTTTTTTTTTCCTTCTGATCAAGGCTCAATGTTTTAATGTTCAGCTTCTCAATTTAAAGGGAAGAACTCTCTCATTTCTAATTTCTTGAAGTAGATACTTCAGTTGTGGCTGACTTAATTCCTTTTTTCTTTTTTTTTTTTTTTTTTAATTCTTTTCAAAATACACTATAGGTCTCTTCATGCACACCACCAGAAGAAGGCATTGGATCCCATTACAGATGGTTGTGAGCCACCATGTGGTTGCTGGGAATTGAACTCAGGACCTCTGGAAGAGCAGCCAGTGCTCTTAACTACTGAGCCATCTCTCCAGCCCCTTGATTTCTTTTCTAATATAAAGGATTAATTATATGTTTACATGAGAAGTTTAAATGTATCCCATACATTTTGATGTTCATTTTTTTAAGTTAAAATATTTAATTTTTGTCTAAGAGTGTCTTTAACTCATTAATTTAGAAATGTTTTGATTTATAAGTACAAATTAGACATTTTTGATCCAGAATGCTCAAAATGAAAACGGATTCAAAGTTCATATTTTACTTTAAATTTTGGAAACCTTCTTTGTATATATAAAACAGGATGTTTTGGGGGATGTACATACGACATGAGAGTAATTTTTATATTGGTGGTTTTCTCTGTGGGTGTGGGTGTGTGTGGTGGTGTGACTGCTACTGTATCAGGTCTATTTTTTTTCACTTGTGCCATCATGTGACACAAGGGCATTTACATCATGCTCTTTACTTTGAAGTACTTTAGTGTGCATGTCTAAGTGTGGGAATGCTCTGCCCAGCTGGTGTGGTGTCCTAGTCTTACAGCCTCAGCTCTCACATCTCCGAAAGGATGAGGAGCAGGCTCAGGGCAGCTGCTCCCACTCTGGCCTCGTGCATGCTGGTCTAGCACCCTGCCAGCTGAGCTACAATCCTAGCCCCAGGACGATTTCTTTAAAGGGTTTTCTGCTTTAGGTTTTTTTTTTTTCTGGACCTAAGAGAAATATCATAAACTCTTGAAACTTTAGACTCACACTCAGGATAGATGTGTGGATCAGATTTGTACTAGGAGAACAGGAAAAGTGCCCCTTGCATCTCAGTGTTACTACTAAACTTACATGATTTGCACTCTTTCATTGCTCATGAATTAAATATGAAGTAGAAACCTTACGTGTTGAAGAGAGTTACTAAATAATATAATTTTGAGAATAGAGTGTGGTTTTGTATCACAGATTTAGTGGGATATATTAATAACTGAGCACAATTTAATTAGGCAGACTATTGTTTGTTATAACAGTCAGCTAGGGAAACCAGTGGTGTGGGAGTAAAAATCCATTGGATAGCACTCTGACTCACTCTTGTCCTAGCAGTGATTTGAAAAAGAATTTTTTATTAAGTTTATTTAATGTGTATGATGTGGAGATCAGAAGATAAAATAAGTAAGGGAATGGGTTCTCCTTTGATCATGTGAGTCCTGGAGATCAAACTCAGACTATCAGGTTTGGCCGAAAGCACTTTAACTTGCTGAGGCATCTCAACAGCCCCTCTTTTAGTTTCTTAAGAATTTGGTCAGGACTAGAAGATTGTAGGTTTAAAGTTCTCCTGAGCTACAAATTGAGTTCAAGGTCAGTCTGAGCAACTTAATGGAGACTACATCTCCATTAAAGAATATAGAGGGCAGGGACTAATTGGCTAATCTTGAAGGCTAATGAAGAACTTTTTATTGGTTTTGGTTTTTGTGTGTGTATTTATAGAAACTTTGAGAGGATAAAGTTTAGTTCTTAGTTCTTTTACTTTTGATACTGGTAGTCAAACCCAGGCCATGCTAACAAGCACTCTACCACTGGTGCTGCGTCCCCAACTCATCCCTCCTCACCTGCTCTGAGCCCTGGTTTTTTGCATGTTTTCCTCTTGGTATGTTTCATGAACAGAGCCTGTGTCTTGTCACTGAAAACAGTCTACTGAACCACATTGACTTGCTTTTGTCCAGTTATCTCTTCAGAATGCCGTCTTCTGTTCATGTTCAAAAACTAAGAGTATCAAATGTTAGCTGTTCTCTATAAAATAATACAATTTTATTTGTTGAAAGTTGATAGTTTGTCCCATTAATGAGGTTAATTCAGATTAACATTTTCATGTTTTTTTTAACAGATCAATTTCTACATGGGATTTGCTGTGTAGTGAACTAATTCTTTTTTTTTAAGTTGCTTTTTTTTAGATATTTATTTGTCTATTTATTTTTATTTATTTATTTTATTGATGAGTACACTGTAGCTGTCTTCAGACACACCAGAAGAGGGCATCAGATCTCATTACAGATGGTTGTGAGCCACCATGTGGTTGCTGGGATTTGAACTCAGGACCTCTGGAAGAGCAGTCAGTGTTCTTAACCGCTGAGCCATCTCTCCAGCCCATGAACTAATTCTTAAGTTATACCTCTTTATAGGCAAAAATTATGGTAGCTCTTTTCTGATAAAGTTTGTTCATATTTCGTTCAAAATGGAAGACTAGACATATATTTTAGACATATATTTGCTTACCACTGTAGTGCATTAAGAACCTGATTTTGTTAATCTGTTTATCCTAGGTTATGTGTGCCTGTGTGTGCTCACTCACTCCAACATGGCACGAGAACTCACGTGTGGGTCTGTCATACACAGTGTGGGAGGTCAGAACAATCTTGGATGTCAGTTCTAAGGCACCATCTTGTCTGAGACAGGGCCTTTCATTGGTTTGGAATTTCATCACATAAGTCAGACTAGTTGCCATGTGTTCCCCTCTCCCCAGTTTGCACTTGGCATTTACATGGATTTGGGGGGATTCAGACTTAGATATTCATATTTGTGGTCTAACGGTTTTGCCCATTGAGAGCCCTCTCTCTTGCTCTAGTGGTTCTCAACCTTCCTGTGTGGTGATCTCCAACCATGACATTTTTTCCATTGCTATGTCATAATTGTAAGTTAGTTACTGTTACAGGATATCTGATACAAAACCCCAAAGGGGTCATAACCCACAACCCACCATAGCTCTAGAATATTTTAAGAAAAATTTTCTGGAGATGGCAATTTGCTTTGTTTTTTATTTGTAATTTATGTGTATGGGTGTTTTCCTTGTGTGTGTGTTTATACCACATGCGTACGTGCCTGTGGAGGCCAGAAGAGGGAGAGTAAGATCCTTGGAACTGGAGAGACTGTGAGCCTTCATGTGGGTGCTGGAAGTTAAACCCGAGTCTTCTATAAGAGCAACCAGTACTCTAGCTGTATATGGCTGTCAGTTTCAATTTTCGTCTATCCCTCAGTCTTAATGTTATGTAGAGAAGACAAAGCCTTTGCACTAAATCTTGCCTCATGAGATTAAGAAACAATAGAAAGTTTTCTGCATCAAGTTAGAGTGTAAGATATTTGAGATAAGATCTTAAAAATATTTTTTTATTACTGGTTAGGTCTACATCTCTTAACATTTGACATTTGAAAATTTATTGTGCTAGTAGGAGGTAAATAACTTAGACACCTGTAGGGTAGAAACTTTGACCAGCTTTCATTATAAAGCAGTAAGTCTCAACAACTGCTTTGTTGAGGGGTCAGCTAACACCATTGGAGAGTATTTACATTATGTTACATGATAGATATTTATGTTACAAGTCATAACAGTAGCAAAATAACAGTTATGAAGTAGCAATGAAAATAATTTTATGGTTGGGGGGTCACAACAACGTAAACAACTGTATTAAAGAGTAACAGCATTAGGAAGGTTGAGAACCATTATTTAAAAGCACTGTGAGGTGGGGGTGGGGGTGGGGGAACCATTTGCTTTAGATGTTAAAGTGATTTTGTTATTTTAACCCTAGGTTGAAACCTGCCAAATTCCAGCACTCTGGAGGCAGAGTCTGGTGGGTCTCTTTTAGCTTCAAGGCCAGCCTGATCTACAGAGTGAGTTCTAGGACAGCCAGGGCAAGATCAGGTTTCTCTGTGTAGTCCTGGCTGTCCTAGAAAACAGCCACAGCTTTGAAATTGTTTTAAAAATTGGTTAGAGACTAGAGTGTTGACATAAGGAAGTTTCCTTCCATGATAGGCAGTAATGATCCCATCTTACTCATTACAGATATCTGTAGTGCAGCCAAGGACACACTTCGAGAGCTAGAAACGTATTACAACTTTTAGTGATAACAGTAGAACTTGGTTTGTGTTTGTTTTAAACATGGATTATACTTTGTCTACAACTAATTTTGATTTCCCCCACCCCACTCGTTTGGCTTTGATTTTTCAAGACAGGGTTTCTCTGTAACAGCCTTGGCTGTCCTGGTCTTGCTGTGTAACCAGGCTAGAATTGAATGTACCCGGATCAGTCTGCCTCTGTCTCCTGAGTGCTGGGATTAAAGATTAAAGGCATGAGCCTCCACACCAGGCCTTTATCCTGTCTTTTTAAGTAAAATGTCTGTAAAGGAAAGGATTTTGTAGAATGAGAGAGGAAATGGAGTTAGGAGAGAATTGGAAACTGAAACTTCATTTCTTTGGGGCCAGTGAAATGGCTCAGTGGGAGAAGGTACTTGCTGCTGAGCCTGACCCTCTGAATTTGATCCCTGGAACCCACACAGTGGAAGGAGAAAACTCATTCTGGCAAGTTGTCCTCTGACTTGAACATCCATACATGAGTAACCCTCACTCCACCCCAAGTAAAAGGAAATGTAATAAACTTAAATATTTTTTTAACTGAGATTCTTTAAGCAGGTCTATAGAGTCAGAGCTGTTTTTATGTTAATACTGAATTAGAATTTGCCCTCGGGAAAATCTCACTTCATTGACCTGAGTGTTGATGGAGTGTATGCTTGAGTATTGTGCCTTAAAGAAATGTTTTTGAGTTTTGATTTATATGTGCTAATTAACAAGTTTAACCCATAAACAACAGCTTAGTAATTTTAAACAGTTCAAAAGAATCTTGAAACCAGAATTTGAGAACTGTTTTCCAGGGTGTAGTGACATCAGTTGCAGACTTGTTCCTTCTTATTGCTATTTATTGTAGGTAGCATTGATTTTTCAGAGCAAATTGTTATTCTCCTGGCTCTCAGGGAGTAGAACATAGCATTGAGTTTAGGTGGTTGGCTTCAATGGTTATCTTAGGAAAGAAAGCTCCAAATAGAGCATGGAAAAGCTTTCCTTCTAACTGCTGATCAGAAAAGACTCTTAAGGAGGGATATGCTCATCCCTGACAGGGCCTAACAGGTCACACAACTGTTAGTCAAGAATACTTGGAGTATGCATAGAGTACTTGCTGTGCATGCATATGAGGTACTGAGGTTGATCTTGAACCTAGCAAAACCAGTTTTTAAAAAGTCATTAGTGCTGTATTAAAGGGATCTGATGTATAAGAAGACCCTGTTTAAAAAAACACTTCAGATCCTTTAATTTTTGTGCTAGAGCCATGAGTTTTAACACTTCTAGTGTTTGGGCTTTATCTCCAGTACTGTTTTAAAAAAAAAAAAGAAGGGAAAAAAGCTTACTGTTCTTAGGTACTTCCCAGTTAAGTTCTCTTATATGAACTATTGCTAGAGTATCAACTTGCTCACTTTTTCCCCCCTCATATTTTGTTTCAGTTGGTCGGATTATGTTTCAGCTCTTCTCAGACATATGTCCAAAAACATGCAAAAACTTCCTATGCCTGTGCTCAGGTGAGTGAGTTTTTAACCTGTTTCCAGTAAGAATGACTGGCTACTTGTAGATATATCTGCTTTGAGGCAGGAGAATCTTCATAAATATATAATGACCTATTAACTGAGTCATACAGCTAAAACTTGAATATGAAATGAAAGAAACATTTTTTGAGAGGACAGGAGGAAAAAGAAATAATGTTTAAAATGATAAGGATCTACTTCATATAATACAATCTTTATGTATTAGTCAAATAAGACATTGTCAAAATTAATTTGTCCCGGGAAAATGTTATCCAAATTTCAATTCTTTAAATAAATTTAGCACCTCATTATTTTTTTAAAATTACTTTTCATTTATATATCATTGCACACACCTTAGTCAAGAAGACTAAAACAGTTAATGTTAAACATTAAAAATAGCAAACTTAGTGTTTAAAACCTATGTTTGAACTGCTTTTCTAGATTTCATTCTTTAGTGAACTAATCATCTCCATTCTTATCTCCTGTGACACATAGAATTGTTTCTGGATCAATTTAAAACACTGTTTTGAATTATTTATTTTGGTTTATGCACTATGCATATATGCTACACACATGTCATCTGTCTGTGTCTTACATCTTTCATAGTATCAGCATGTGGGAGGGATTTGACCACAAGCTAGTTGGTTGGTTATTCCCATGGAATGATGGGTTTGTAGCTAAACTTCTTTTTTTTTTCCGCCAGGGGAGAAAGGCCTTGGGAAAACAACTGGGAAGAAGTTATGTTATAAAGGTTCTACATTCCACCGTGTGGTTAAAAACTTTATGATTCAGGGTGGGGACTTCAGTGAAGGTAGAGATAAAAGTTATATTCCTAATAAATCCATCCATCAGTTTTTAAAGAATCTCATTATTGCTTTAATTGTAAATACCATGTCACAGAATGATGAGAGCACTGAGTCCTCAGTGTATCCCTGTTGGATAAACAGATGTTACACATCTAGAATTTGTGAGAATGTAAAGACTCTGATACTTTATTTTGTTTATGTAATTTATTTTAGTAACATAATTATTGGATAGATTACCTTCCAGTGAACACCACAGTACTGTCCAATTATATCTACTCTAGCAATTTCTTGGTATGACTATGAAACAAATGGGTCATAGGGGTCATTTTTATGATAGTATTTTTCATGATATGTTAAAGATTAAATTAATTGAATGTTCCTAGAATAATGGAGTTTTTCAGGATTTTTTGTTTTGTTTTGCTTTTTTGGTAGCAGTTAAGAGGTTTAAAGAGTTCTTCAGCATATTGAAGCCATCAAAAATAATTTTTTGGGCTGAAAATGTAACTGAATGGTCGAACATTTGCTTGGGTTGTCCTAGGCCCTGGTTTCAATCTCAAGTACTGCAATAACAGTAATAATAGTAACAGAAGTGGGTGTGATGGCACACACCTGTAAGCCTGACACTTGGGGAGGTAGAGACCAGGGATTTTGAGTTTTAGGTCACCCTGACCTTCAGTAGTGAGACTTGTGTCTTAAATCCAAAGCAAATGGAGCCAGCAAGGTCCTCAGTGGGTAAAGGCACTTGTGACCAAGCCTGAGGACCTGAGCTCAATCCCTGGGATTCACGTGGAAGAAGGAGAGAGCCGACTCCTGCAGGCTGTCCTCTGACCTCCACATTAACACTGTTGCACACATGCGTGCACACACACACACAATAAATATTAAAAATACAATCATTATTGTGTCCTGAATATTTACAGTTTGTATTATGACTCATTGTTCTCAGGTAATGGAAAAGGTGGAGAATCGATTTATGGTGGATACTTTAAAGGTAAGGCTGGGTATTTTGTGTTTTTTGTTTTTGTTTTTGTTTTTGTTTCAGTTCTGATATAAAGCAAGTTTGGTCGCATACTTTAATGAGAAGAGGTTTACTTGTAGTTCACGTTTGCATGAAACTAATGCTGCATGAAAATACTTTATTTGCATGAGTTTGGGGATAAATTATATTGTAATATATAACTTAATTGACAAGATTAAGGCTAACTTTAAGGTTAAACATGACTTTCAGCATGGAGGTTAGGCAACTATATACATGAAAACTCCTATCTTCCTGCCTAAAACTGTCAACATATTCTTTTGTTTATAGAGAATGTGGTCTTTTGCAAAATGAAAAGGTAAGAGAACGAAGCTCAGTAACACAAACTCCACTCTGCTCCCTTGTGCCCTCCTAATAAATCCACGGACAGTCTGGTCAGGTTGTGCCTGGATTTCTGTATTGTTTGAAGACTTGGAAAATCTTTGTGATTTCATACATGCATCTGTGCCTTTGTTTCTTTACAATGGATTCTTAGTTCTACATCAGGGAAAAAAGAAGCTAGTTGTGGTTTTTGTTCCCTTAAACCAAGCAATTTCTTTGAATAAAAATTGGTATTTTTTTCCTTTCTCAAAGGTTTGTATATTTTCTTTTGTGTACTAGAACTATATGGTTGTATTTTATTCCTACAGTAGTAACATTTCATTAAGTCTAACTGTTGCACTTCCCAAAAAGCCTTAGAAAAGTCAGTTGCAGGAATTTTCAGTGGGCTCCAGCATTGCTGGGCTTGAGTGCCCTCAGGGCTTCAGTGTGTCATGGTCTTTCCTATTTCCCTTGGGGAAGCTAGATCACTACTGTTTGTCAGACGTCTGTCCCCAAGGGAACCATGTTTTTTTAAGTTCTATGTTTCTGTTTGTTCTAAAGGAAGATTTGTTTGTATGAATGTAAAAGGATATTTGGTTTTAAAGATCTTTTTCCCATCCAGATATTTGCCAGGCTTGGCCTTGCTTATTAGCTTCTGCTATTAAAGGAGATCAGGCACATTCAGGATGATATGGCTGTCTAGTTTTAAAGATTTTCTACTGAATTAAAGCCATCCCCAAGTGATGGTGATCACGATTTTCCCCCTTTCTAGCTGGTTGTAATGGCGTGTAGCAACTTGCACTTAATTTTGTGGGTCGCTTTAATGTGCCTATTCTCTGTGAAAGATGCTTTTGTATCTTAAATTTTTTTAAATGTTATTATACAATATTCTTCCTTGGGTAATTTTGTGATCCTACTGATACTTAATTTAATTTGTTTTCCTAAAACTAAATATATGTAATATTTTTTTCTCAGACCATCTTGACTTCAGTGGAATAATAAATTTCCCATACAAACGTTAAGCATTCAAGATTAAGACTTATTAAAGCTCACCTATGTATATAGTTCATGTGTCAGGCTAATTGGAAACTTGATGGAAATACATTTTACTGTAGAGATTTTTCTACAAATTTCTTGACTAGACTTCCCCGAGAGTCAGTAGTTTATATCTCATTTGGCCAAGTTGTTGCTGCTGGAAGTGACTGTTCTAAGGCTGTTTGTACAAAGTGTTAAATACCTGCTCTTTTCCTCAAGGCTTTAATTAGTATCTTTTCGGCCTTTTTTGTGCTTTTGTTATTCGATTAGTTAATTTTTTTTCTACATATTGCCAAATATCTTACTGACCAGAAGAGGAGTTTCATCTTTTGCTTTCAATTTAGTACTTGAGCATTACTTTAAAAGCTTCTTATAATTGGAGACTAACAAATTTGTGTTTTCTTCAAACAGATGAAAACTTTATTCTCAAACATGACAGAGCGTTCCTTTTGTCAATGGCAAATCGAGGGAAACATACCAATGGTTCCCAGTTTTTCATGTGAGTAGGCGTAATGCAGAGATGAGCTTTTCCTACAGAGAAGCGCTGTTCATGAGAAAGATGGGATAGCCAACCTCATTTTACTGCTCAAACTCTGACAGCTGTGGTTTGACTTTGTGTTTCTGATGTTACGTAGTAACTGTAGTCTCTACTGGCTGCTTCAGCACTCAGCACAGATCTGGATTTGAAGATTTGAACTTAAAAATGTAACCTGAGGGTACATAGTGTTTTCAGAATATGCTGTCATAAGGAACGAATTTAGCTCTTCGTCATCCGAAGGCCCAGTTTATCTAGATTGAAATATGAACTCATGATGGACATGTAAAAATGGTCCATGATGTCGCTGGGTGTGGTGGTACACGCCTTTAAATCTAGCACTTGGGAGGCAGAGGCAGGCACATCTCTTGAGTTTGAGGTCAGCTTGGTCTACAGAGTGAGTTTAGTACAGCCAGAGAGCCAGATAATGAGACCCTGTCTAGGAAGGAAGGAAGGAAGGAGGGAGGGAGGGAGGGAGGGAGGGAGGAAGGAAGGAAGGAAGGAAGGAAGGAAGGAAGGAAAAAACTGGCCATGATGTAAGTCTAGATGGATCCTAGGCACAAGAAGGAGTTGGTTTGGGTAAACATCATGTGAATGGTTTTGTTTTCTCTCTTACTATTAGCCAGTTTTGTGAGAGGTAACATTTTCTGATGAGGTATAAAAAAGTGATTTGCTATTTAGTCAATATTTTTAACTACTGAAAATTTGTAAGGTCTCTGTGCATAATGAACTAAATACAACATTGGCTGTCATTTTGCCAAACTTTGTAAATATTACTTAGTAAACTCTACTAAATTTTCAAAGAGCCAAATACATTTTGGGCTGTCTATATGGTTCAGTGGAAAGAACACTTGACATCCTGAGTTTGATCCTCATAACCCACATAAGGGTAGAAGGAGAGAACCAGCTCCCTGTTATCTTCTCACCTTTACATGTGTGGCCCCCACCACATATGTCATACAAAATAATAAATAAGTTCTTTAAAAGAATATATCTTATTTGCATATATATGTACAACCAAAAACTAAATTCTCATGTGAGAATTCTAAAGAAAACCTTAGGCATACTTTTCATTACATTTTATCTAAACCTATTTTTGTATTGTCTCATCATGTACAATATGAAATATAGTTGTCCAGCATGCAGCTTAGTACTTCTAATAATAATCTCTGCTGTTCTGTGTGTGTTGGAGAAATATTTGTGATTTATCAAAATTTTTCTTTTACATCTTTCTGAATGGATAAATATGAATGGCGCTTCCCTGTCTTTAAAGGAATCACTTATTCATATAAAAAACTCACATTTTAAGTTTGAAAGATTTTCAACATGATCTGAAGAAGTTCAGATAAGGGGCATTCTGTTCCCAAGGATGTCCTAAAAATGGAAAGTTAAGGGAAGGTGATGGTGCTGGAGTTACATGGGAAGGAAACCTGAGACAGTACTTCCTGTGCCCTGTTTTGATCTCACTGATGATTAGTTACACACATTTTCACTGGAGTACTTCTCTTATGCTTAACCTTTTTGGGGTCCAGGGCCAGTACAAAGTAAAGAGGTAAATTTTGAAAACTATTTGTGCTAACTTTATGTCAAAACCTCTTTGTTTCCATTTTTAAGCTTATCTGAACTGTGAACATGAAAAACTAACGATTCATTGGTCAAGATGGGGCCATCTGAGGGCTCTAAAGTTTCTTTTTATATTATTGCATTTAAATTGTCCTTACTCAGGTAGTTGCAGTTTCTTGCCATTATTGCATATAGTTAGCTTATTTATGTAGACCTCTGTTAGAATCTAGGATATGAGCCGGGCGGTGGTGGTGCACGCCTTTAATCCCAGCACTTGGGAGGCAGAGGCAGGCCGATTTCTGAGTTCGAGGCCAGCCTGGTCTACAGAGTGAATTCCAGGACAGCCAGGGCTACACAGAGAAACCTTGTCTCGAAAAAAACAAAACAAACAAACAAACAAAAAAGAATCTAGGATATGAAATCTTCTGTCCTCTGGTGTTATGTAATACCTGCTTAAATCTCTAGGAACATTTAGTAAAGTCTATTACTTTCTATGTGGCCTAGTTTTGCATTGGACTGCTGTTTGGAAAGGAACACCTAATGAAAAATTTTAAATCAGTAGATTAGGAAAAATAACCAGTAAGCAGTTTCTATAATTAGCTATAGACAGCTCTAAAATCACTAAATGCACAATAAAAGAATAATTTTAATCTTTAGTTTGATGAAAATTTATTTGAAAGGAGTTTGCAGTCCTAGAGGTAACATTTTGTATCCACAAAAGTTTGTCCTAATTTTTTAAAAAGTAGCTTGTATGCCTATGTGTTGTTTTATGGTGGCTGAAAATTCACATTCCCGTGTGTTGTAAGATAAAGTCAAACTAGAAAAGTTCACATCTTTAAACAAAATGTGTCATGATTATGAAAGGATAGCTACAACAGAAGTGGCAGCCAATAAAGGAGAGATCTTTGAACACTCTGCATCTTGCAAGCCCATCTCCTTTTGGCACTGGAAGAGGTAAAAGAAGAATGTACTGTTTCTGGCTTGTGTATATAATCATAGCTGAGACCTACCCAGTGGCTTTCCAGTAAGCTCTGGGTTTGTCCTGTCACCACACCCTGCATGTGGCACCTTGGGTAGCATTTCTGAGCAGAAAGAAAGGATGATATAAGAGCAGTCTGTGTCTTACAGATTGTTTCATTGGCCTTGCAAGGACCTGTAAAACATCTGCACAAAATGGTACTCAGTTTGTGTCCCTCAAATCTACAGTTCCTGACCAGTACATTTGGTGCTGTTAGTGTGGCGTGTGGCAGGCCCTCTGGAATTACTGTGATTTGTGTTCTAACTGTTGTCTTGAGTCTCTTACACTTAGCAACTTCCCTTCCTAAGATGTACACTGTTTTCAACATAATTTTGCATATATTGTTTTCCTTGGCTATAACTGTGTGTCTTTGTGTATGTAGAGAGAAAATATTATATATATATATTTATATTTGATGGTTAAATATAGTGGAGATGAGGTTTTCCTTATGGCTAATTGTAATTTTTACCATTAACTGCTTGTATTGACTATTGTATGAACAGTGGTGCTTCTGTTTTGGGAGCTTATATAGAAGAGAAGACAGTCTTTGGAATAGTGCTGCTTGAGAATTGGAAAAGAAGTGATATGTGACCCCATCCTTACAAACTACTAAGGACATAAGGGTTTGCTCACATTGAAAAACTTTTAAAGGAGCTCAGACTCCTAGCACCACACTCACCAAGCAACACATGGGAGGGACCAAGCCAGTGTGCATTAGTGTGCACTCATTATGTCACTTTATGTTTATTTTTTAGGTCATGTGTTAGAAAAAGAAAAGACACAATGAAAGCTCTAGGGCAGGAAGTGTAGGTCAGGGATGGAAAGCAAGCCTTATGTGCAGGGCTATAGGCTCAGTCACCAGCCCTGCAGAAACAAGGGAGGGAAAGAATGAGTCAGGTAAAAGCTGTAGAATTAGAGATGATGTGGAATACGTGTATGTTCTACAGAGAATGAATGCTAAGTAAGGTAGAAAAAACATGCCCCGTCCAGGTTGCTCTAGAATCTTTTCTCACATTCTGAAGAAAAGAAAGCTGCTGACTGCGTGCTGCAGGGTTGTAAACACTGTGTTCTGAATCACTGCAGTGAGTTATCCAAGGCAGGGACATTCTGCTGAGAAAGAGAATGGCAGTTGGGGTACTTTTCTTTTTAAAGCTATCATTGTTAATGGTAATTCTGGTACTAATTTTTATTGTCTGTAGTCATTGAGAAGATAGGAACACATTATATAAAACAATATTAGAAAGGTTAGTTTGTAACTTTTGTTATTAGTATTTTCCTTAGATGGAATATGTAGCTAGCTCTCAGGAAGCCTTGGTTTTAGCCAGGTGTGGTGGTTCATGCCTGTGACCCCAGCACTTGGTGGGCTGTGGAAGTTGGACGGACTTTCGGGAATGTGAGTGCAGTCGTTGTGGGGCACACACAAGAGCAGAAGACCCTATCTCAAAAAAAAAAACCAAAAAAAAAAAACAAAAACCACATATAGCATGCAGTTATAAAAAAACAATCCATACTATGACTGGCTAGGCACCAGCAGTGGTGGTCTCCCCATGGGAGCCCCAAGCTACTCCCCAGCCAGTTGCACTTCCCAAGCCATCTGCTCCCTGTGGCAAGCCTGTAGAAACCGGATGTCGGTCGCTCTGATCTCCTAGCCCCGTAAAATGAAAACTCTAAGAGGCTTGTAATTTACCAGCCAGATGTATAACAACAAATCTTCAACCCCAAAAGGCCCGCACAAACCCCACAAAACTCAATTGATATAGATACAAACTGCAGACCTAGATTGGGCAAATGTGTCCTGCATTATCCCATCGTCTTCCTGTGAAATCCTCAGTTACTTATGGCACCTAGGATCAGGGGGTTCTGGTTCATCATCCTCTCCCTCAGGTTCCATCCTGTTGTCTCTGTTCTCTCTCTCCCCTCTCTAAAACTTTCAGCTCCACCCCCTCCTCCACTGCCCAATCACAGGCTCTAGCGTTATCTGACCAATTAAGATTTCACCTGAGTACAGGCACCCCTTTTAAAGAAGCAGAAAAAACAGACAGCAATCCACAGCACACATACATACACACAAAATAAATCTTGGTTTTAGCTGTTTTTCTGTACCCTGAGTTACTTTATTAAAAACTCTCTATCTCTTTCTCTCTCTCCTCTCTCTTTTGTTCTCTCCCTCTCTCTCTCCCCCCCCTCCTATTTCTCGAATGCACATGAGAACAGAAGTTAGAACTTGATTTTAGTTGTCTTCCTTTGTCAACCCCGTTTTCCTTTATGTTTTTAGACAGTCTGTCACTGAACCTGGAACTCTCATTTTGTCTGTACTAGGGGCAGCAGCAGTCTCTCCCTTGGCTGCCACTAAAATATTTGTCAGTGCAGGCCTTTTTTAAAA